CGCGCCGCGGCGCCCGGGGCGTCGTCCCACTCGGCCAATGCGAGAGCCGCGCGGCGGCGCCGCGGCGCGTCGCCGTCGTGTGACGTGGCGTCGAGGGCCACGGCGACGTCGCGCGCGTCGCCGAGCGCCGCGCGGCACCGCGCGGCGAGCTCGGCGCCGAGGTCGAGGGCGCAGGCCGGCGCCGCGGGGTCCGCGAGCCGCGCCGCGAGCTCCGCCGCGGCCGCGCCGTGGCGGCCGCGCGCGACGTCGCCGGCGGCCTCCAGCCACCACGCGCCTCCCCCCAACACCTCCGCGCGCCACGCGGCGAGCTGGTCGCAGCCGTCGCCGTCGCCGAGGCCGACGCGGTGCACCGCCGCGAGCGCGACGTAGCCGTCGAAGGCCTCCCCGGGCTCCGGCGCGGCCGCGGCGGCCGCCGCGGCGCGCTCCGCGTGATACGCGCCGTCGCCGAAGCGCCCGCCCGCCGCCGCCGCCGCCGCGGCGTCGCCCCGCAGGCTCTCGAGCCAGCCGTCGCAGACGCCCCTGTTCTGGCGGAAGAAGGCCGCCACGGGCCAGGGCACCGCGTCGTCGCGGTCGCCGTCGGTCGCGTCGTCGACGGCGGGCCGCTCCGCGGCGTAGTTGAGGTCGTCGGGCGTCGACGTCGGCGGCGCCGACGCCGCCCGCGCCATCTCCCTTTCCAGCGCGCCGACGAGCGCGACGAGGTTGCCGCGGTCGTCGGCCGCGGTCGCCCTCGCAAAGTCGCCGCGGACCGCGCCGAGTGTCGCCGCGGGCCCGCCCAGGCGGCTCCGGAGCCGCGCGCCGACGGCGGCGGCGGCGGCGGTGTTTGCCAGCGCCTCGCAGGCCGCGACGCGCGCGCCGGGCTCGTCCGCGGGCTCGTCCGGCGGGTCGTCGCGCGGCGGCTCCGCGGCGGGCTCGTCCGTCGCCCGCTTCAACAGGAGCTGGGGCTTCGCGGGCTTGGACGGGGTGCCCTTCTTCTTGCGCTCGCTCGGCGGCGCGCTCGGCGGCAATGGTTTGGCCGGCGGTGGCCGCGGCGGCGGCGCGGACCGCGGCGCGGGGCTCGCGAGGCGGCCGCCGCGGCTCACGACGAGCCGCTCGAACGCCGCGGACGCGTCGGCCTCGCGCCGCCGCGCCGCGGGCGTCGACGCCGAGTCCTCCCAGGCCGTGGCCCAGGCGTCGACGTCGCGCAGCGGCGTCGCGGCGCCGTCGACGTCGACCTCGACGGCCGGCGTATAGCGCGCCGCGGCCTCCGCGCGCGGCGCCAGCAGCGCGCCCAGGTCCGCGGCGCAGAGCGCGTCTAGCACGGCGTCGGCGCAGTCGTCGTAGTCGGCC